AACAACGAGATACACTCTTCTAAATGTTTATCAGCAGGGAGTGATCATAGAGTAAGCGCCAACTTAAACGCCTGGGTCGTTTAACTTCATAAGATGAGTTGTCTTTAAAGGCCTTTGAGTCACATCAATATCGGGAATTTTTCCTGTAAGTAATAAACTGTTGGGAGATGCATTTTTTTCTCACTTTCCAAACTCTGACAAAGGCGGACTTCCCGAAATGAAAGCCTAATGAACCGTTATATCAGTAAAGCTTCTTCGTTATCCCTTTATAGGTTACGGGTCAATAGTTAGGTTTAGGAGTACGATAATTTTTTGCACAGTTGACCTCTAGAACCCTTATTTCTGCTCCTTTACTCTCTGACAAAATCTCTGTAGAAGAACGTGTTCTTATCTATATGGTCAGACAATTTCCTGCAGTCTTTGGTCTTTATCCGAACCAGGCTGCCCTATGACCAGTCCACTGGGCCACCTAAGATGTTCGCGCACAGATGCTCTTGAGGTCGCCAATGTCTATGTACACAAAATACACGTTTGCAACACATTGTTCGGGTTTGCAGGAGAATGTAGCGACACCGCTTATGTAAACACATCTGTCAATAATGTGCTAATTCTCACCTGCAACGAAAGAATGCCCGTATTTTCAACCTGACCAGGGCGTGGTTCCTAACAAGGACACCTATAAAAACACGGTTTTCCTAGATTTTCCCAGAAAATTCTTCCAGAAATAAAAATGCCATCTTTTACTATTCTCTATTTATTCACACTGTTCTACGTGACTACAGCACAGTACGATGATCTCAGCATACTAGAAGAGGTCCTGGATCGAACAACGCTTCCTACTGTGGATGCTGTCGACTCTAAAGTTACGGTGGAATCTATAAGCGATCTTCTCGAAACGATGAAGGCAAGCAGCACAGTTGCACCCACTGCACCTGAGGTGGCCACTACTGCTGGTGCGATGGAAGAACTTACTAAGAGCATGCCAGAAATGGAGAAGAAGAATGAATCCAAAGGAATAGAGATAGAAGTGACTCCTATTGTCAGCACTCCACTAGTTGAATTTCTTCAAAGTACCACTGAAGGTAAAAAGTTCACGTTGTCAATAAATTTCGAAAAAAAAAATGAGTTTATTTTAGAATCTGCAACGACAACTCATGAGACCAGCACATCTTCTGAATCTGAGATCAAAGTTACAAGCACTGAGGTAAGTACGATTATCTAAGTTGATTGCACTTATCAAAGTTTTGCAACGTTCAGAATATTTTAATTGATTTTCCAAACAAGTTGAGGTATTTTTGCATTTCGAACCTTGGCATTTAAATTCTGACCTTAAAGTCATATTTTAATTATTTATAGATCTTAAGCATTAATTCACTTAACCTCTTGTTACTGTTATTTTCCTGGTTTTTCAGAAAAAAAAAACCATTTCTTGTATTTCTACTATTCCAGGCCACGCTCACCTCAATACCGACGGAGATCCCAGCCATTGAAAAGGAGCCCCTTATTGGATTAGGCAAACCTGATCTCTCCCGCATCTACAGAAGACTGTTCCCATATCGTAATATCTGAATGAAATAGCAACTCGTGGTCAACACAGTAATCTGAATCAGATTCGAAATAACTCAGGTCTAATATAACTTATTTAATGTGAATTGAAGTCGAAATAAAGATTATAAATGAAATTAGACAACCTGATGTTTGATAATTGTCAAGCCTATGGTCTCCCATTGAGTTTCGTCGATTGCTCTTTTTTACTTGAAACTAAATTCCAGAATT